CAGCTCTGCAACTGCATCCTGGCCCATCCTCACCCTTCTGCCCCCAACCCTCACCTCCTTGTACCCCAAATATGTTTTTCCCAATAAAAAAAAAGAACATAGTTTATGTGACTAAAAGACAGCGAAATCTTCAACATTTCTGTGGCTAGATAGAACTTTCTTTTTTCCCCCTATACTTTTCATGCAGGTCTGGAGTTAGGCAAAACTCCATCAACATCAAAAATACAGTATCATAAATAACTGAAATTACAGAGCATACATAACACACAAGTGCTTGGAAAATAATAAAGCCTTTAAAAATTAGTTTCTCTCACTATTTCTACCTTAGCATAACAAAAAGGGTAGAATTCAAAATATCATCCAACATCTATATTTTAAAATAAATGGCTGGTAGAACTTGAAAGAACTTCCTGAAGGTGTAGGTTCATAATTAGCAGTCTGTGGGTCTCAACCTAAATTATACTGTCCTCTCTAGATATATGTTGGTTCATACCAGAATGGGCTGGTAGTGAGAATGATGAGGGTTGTTAAGTTTGAGTTCACAGTTACCCTATGAACAACAGATCTGAGCCTTGTCCTAATTATGTGCCATCCTTATAATCTCTGATATATCTGAGTCCACTGTTAGGCTACAGACTTAAGAAAGAGATCAGAGAACAAGAAAGCTTTAAAGCAGCTTTATTAGGGGAGCTCTGAAATGAGGTTCCTCATTCTGAAGATGTAGAAGGAGGAAGCTCTTCTTTGAACATATTGAAGAGGAGTTTTATTTTTAATTATTAATTTTAATGAAAGTTTACAGAGATTTAGGGTTTCCAGTCATTCACTGTTGCATTTTTATCCCTGCCCCCACCCCTCCCAATTCACTCTTCTCCTTGAAAAGGAAAAGAAAAACTCTTTCATTGTTATGCAATCCCTCCTCCCAAGTCCACTCACTGTGCAACCTTCATTCTGGACTCCTGTCATGACAATAAAATATCTAATCTTATATCCCTTTAAACAGTTATCTCCCTCATCTGTTTCAATGCAGTATACATCATTCTTCCTCTCCTTCTCTGTCTTCCCTTAACCCCGATGTCAGTCCTGTTTTACAACAGTGGCCCTATGCAATATTTGTCCTTTTGTGACTGAGATATTTCACTCAGCCTAATGTTGTCCTTCAGGGTCATCCAAGTTGAATAATATTTTATGAGTTTCTTGTTTTTCAATGCAGCATTGCATTCCATTGTGTGAATATACCAGAGCTTCTCTATCCACTCATTTGTTGATGGGCACTTGGGTTGTTTCCAGCTCTTTGCTATTGTGAACAAAGCCACAACAAACATGGGTGTGCATATATCTGCTTGGGTGGCAGCTATGGTTTCTTTAGGGTATATTCCCAGTAGTGGAATTGCTGGGTCAAATGGTATTTCTATTTGTGACTTTTTGAGAAAGCGCCATACAGCCTTCCATAGTGGTTGTACCATTTTACACTCCCACCAACAGTGAATAAGGGTTCTGGTTTCTCCACAACCTCACCAGCATTTGATGTTTGCTGTTCTGTTAAATTTTGCTATTCTTACTGGGGTGAGGTAATATCTCATAGTTGTTTTGATTTGCATCTCTCTTAGAGCTCGGGATTTTGAACATTTCTTCATGTGTTTGTTTGAATGTCTTCTTTGGTGAAGTGTCTATTCATACCCTGTGTTCATTTTTCAGTTGGGTTATTTACCTTTATCTTGTTGTGGTGTGGGTAGGGTTTTTATAACAGGATCATTAGGGACAGAAGGGAGGGACATTCCATTGTGATTTATGGTTCACCTGTTAGTTTGGCCAGGTAGGCGAGGCCGTTCACTCTTCTTATTGATGTGTGTATTCTTTGAATTCTTCATTCTCCCCCTTACCCACTGTCCAGACCTAACACCCATTGCTACAGCCACTGTGTAAATTCATCTCACTGAGGGTCTTCCTCTCTTTTGCTGACCCTCCACCTTTCCAAGCATGATGTCCTTTTCTAAGGAATTGCCTCTCCTAAC